CCACATGAAGTCTCTCTTTCAACAGAATGTTATTGCTAGAGCCCTTCATTCTTATCCAAGACATCAGAACCATGATAGATGTGACTGCAGAATGGGTGACATTGTGACTTCTGAGCACTGGCTTCTGAATCCTGATCTCTGATAGAAATAAACGCCTCTGGAAGCAGATATCTATGACTACTCCCAGAAGTAATATTGATTGCATGACATCATCGGGATGTTGGTGATATTGCCAAAAAACATGTTCCAAAAAATCTGAACTGCGTAATGGCTGCTTTGTGGGCCTTTTCAGGAACAGTAATCTGATGGATGGGACACCTTATGTGTATATGGGAACCCTTTCTGCTCGAAAAAAAAAAACAGCATTGACTTGCATTTTGGAAAACACCCCTAAAAAGGCAGGTAGGCCCAGGAATAAAGAGGTATAGTTGGTAACTTTGTCTGTTGTATGTCACACTGATATCTCCTCTGAGAGGGTCGCATAAGAGTATGTAAATAGGTGTTCATCAGATCAATTATTGATGGAAATGGATGCTTTGGTAGAACTTAAGGTCTCCATCCTGAACTGAACTATGGCTTTTGGAGAAAATCCACTCAAGAATTTCCAGTTGAGACTCCCTGTTTGGAATTTGGGCACTAGAAAGAAGACAAAGAAGAAGTGTAAATCTTGTTATTCCCTGGGAGATCAATTTTGAAGCAGATTAATACTGCAACCTTCATATGCTCGCATTTTAATTGGTTGGAAGAAGGGGATGTCAATCTTGGTTTGGAATGCTTTTAATCTCAGATGTAAGCCACACTTGGTATCTCTGGTTAAGATTCATTCTTCTGACAGCATTGATCCAACACTTGAAATTTCATGTTCTCTATTTGGGAAACCACTTCAAACTGAATCAGTCTGTAGTCATACTTGCTTGAAAAAACGCAGAGGTTTGTCCTGCAGTATCTCCTCTGTCTCTTATGCCACTTTGTGTATTCAATCAGCTCAGCTAGATTGACATACCTCCTATAACTCATAACTGGATCAAAGAGTGCCAAGACCCACAGTAAGGTCTGTATTTCCTTTTGATCTACCAGAGTGCCTTCGATTATGATTATTTTTACATTATATTATTAATTATTATTATTATTAAAGGAGGATTTCCCTGGTAGTGCCATTTATAGTTACCGAAGCACCTGTCCTCAGGATACTTAATAGTAACAAATACCTGATTTGCCTGGGGATTGGATTTCTGGAAGAATATACAGTCCACATAATATTCCTGAGAATGGTTTCAAATTGCTCCTCAAAAACCGACTCTGAGGTTCTTCCTCTGAGGGCTGTAGCCCAAAGACTGAAACAGCTCTCACATAAGTGAATATGAGGAGACTTCTCTGCACTTTCTGGGCTCTTTCTTGTCCCTTTCAGAGCCTTTACTCTAGGAAGATTTGCATTACAGTGAGCTAGAAGGGGAAGAAAGTCCCTGCACCTCTTTTTCCTCCTTTTACTAGGAGGATGAAGCCTTCGAAATTTCCTTTGTGGAGGAGTGACTCCTGTGGCCAGAATCTGTAGCATGCCTTTATCTTTCCTTCCCAGTTTGTCAGAGTTATAGGGGGGAAAAGTGAGAGAAATTAATCTTGAAGTCCAGCCACCGAGTGTACCCTGATTTATGGAGCTTGCCACCCCCTAAACGGTGGGACAAAGGGAGAGAGAATGGCCTCTATCGCCTATGATAACAGAATATCACTGAAGAGGGACCCTGGAGGGAGAACCTGCTGCTGTGCTACTGAAATAAGTGTAAGATTTGTAAGGTTCACTCTTTTGAGAGGATTTCTTAGTAGGGTTCCTTAAACTTTACAGATGCTCCCTAAACCCCTGCTTGAGGCAAGGGCACATGGCACAGCCCTTTTGTCTCACTGGATCCTGCCGTGAACCAGGTAGTCTTACACAAGATGCCGCATGGCACTGTCCTTGGTCCTGGGTGGACTGATTTTAATCAGCAAGCAAAAACCTTGATTTAAATAATTTTAAATCAGGTTTTGAATCCTAATTTAGCTATTTTCCTAAAGAAAGGCTGAGTCTCATGTGTTGGTAACCATTACAACATGTTGATCTGCAACTAAATATAGTCTTTACACTAAATTCAGTGCTTTTTTTTCCTGTGTGTGGGGGGCTAACCTGGAGGATACACTATATCCACACACAGTTAAGCAATATTATCGCTTAACCTACATTTATTCAGATTCTTAATTTTCACATTTTTATTATGATTAGAAAATGGTGAATGATGCCATTTCTTATTTACTAGATGATTAATTTTTACTTCTGATTTGTGTTAAGTTATATATGGATGGAAATGCAAATTCAATTAAAAAGCACAAAAAAGCATACATTTTAAAAATAATATTACTAACTTAAATGTGCTGGATACAAAAGAAAAAAATTTAAATGCAAAACACATTTTGATAAACTAACAATTATTAAATAAAGGAAGACTTATCTATAGTTAGGGAACTCAGCTAATTTTGGCCCCTATGTCCTTCAATATTTTAGAACTAGTAGATCTCATCCTCTCACGTCTACTTTTTGAAACTGCTTTTTCAACTCCCAATTGGATTCTTAACTTTGAACGAACTAGCCATTCAACTGCGCTAGCTGAATAAACTGAAATGAAGAAAATATTTTCTCTGCTCCTACAGAAGAGGCTACATGCTGTCAAAAGCCAGTTTAGCACTTCAACACACTCTGGTTCTAGATGCATAGCCAGTGACTTCACCAATTCACTAGTTTGACTTTCTTCAAAATATGACAGCAAACATGTACTTCTTTACATTATTTTTGGTATTTAAATTATTTTAATACATTATGTTAAGGCTTAAAGTTATAATAAGCTGTCAAATTCAAACAGGTTTTTTTTTTTTTAAATAAACCTATATTTAATTGAGATTGGAAAATCTGGTTTAAATTGTTTTAAAGGTTTTAATTTTTTTTTTAAATCATCAATTTTTCTACACCCTGCCTTTGTCTCACTGAATCCCATATTAGGCCCTGCTGTTCTAAACAGCAGCAGCCCTTTGTTTCACTGAATCCCTTAGCAAGACAAGCAGAGCTGCACAAAAGCTGCATGGCATGCTCCTTTGTTTCAATGGATCCCTCAGTGTCAGGCAGACTTCCAGAAAGGCTGGCTTACACCTTAAATTAGTCAAAAATAAGTGCTGTTCCAGTAGCCCCTTACCGCCTTCTTGTTCCTCCACGCCTGGGCTGCTCTCTCTCCAGCCCTGCAGGACTGGCTATATTGGGATTGGTTGATTCACAGTGAGCACCGTCCCATCAGTCCCACCAGTGTGGAATGTCTGATCCACTACACAAACAGGGTTCAATTAACCTGGCAGCTGTGGCACAGCTGACACAATAGGGTCTGATTAGCCCAGACACTTTCGCATTCTTTTCTGCCAACTTCTCTATTCCTCTTACTGGCTGTGAGGTGTTCCACCAGAAATGCCTGCCCAGACATGTTACATAGGAAGCTGCTGCAGGCAGCAACCTCAGTATAAACAGGGAGTTTCCAGCAACCCTGCTGCAGACCCTCTCCCCCCCTGCCCCGCCACTCCTGAGGCTAAATAGCAGCCCTGTAATGCTTAGAATCCTTTTTGGTTTTGTTTTCTTGTTGCTCTAAGCAGGAGGTCTGATAAAGTCTTCCAGCAGCTGCTGGAGGCAGGTCAAACTGGCTAGCTGGCTGGGTCTTCATGGATATGGTCACTCCCAGCCTGCCTGATTGACAAGTCTGGTTAACGCCTCCAAGAAGCTGCAAGCAGGAGTAAGACCCATTGTACTGGATCTGCAAACTTTCTCTGCAAAGGCCGTTATTTGTTTACATCCTGGTTGTCATGCAAGAACATTATGTTACTCTCACGCCCTTTAACTTCCTGGGAAGAACATATGCACTTTTTGCTTCTGCTTCTTATGGCCTGAAGTCAGTAGAAAGACTCATTGACTTCAATGGGCTTTGGATCAGGCCCTAAAAGAAGAGTGTTTGACACAGTTCAACTCCTCCCATTGTCTTCAGATGTGTGAATATTAAGAGAAGTATTATTTGTTGTCTATTCCTAGTGCTATTAAATGTACTATATGAATTTTAAAGATCCTGATAAAACAAAGTACTGTACTGGTTATTTCTTAATTGATATTTTAATGTGTATACATACTATTATCTATCTAACAGGCCCACTCTTAACCTACAGCCATCTTCCTCCTGACTCACAATGCCAGGCCCCAGTGTTCCAGCCCAGATCCCTTTCCTTCATCCTTCCCTCCTTGCCCAACTATAGAATTCCAGAGCCTGTCCAACCACGAAGCAAGATTGGACCGTGTTTCCATCCCCACCAATGGTCACTTTGGTTATCTGAAAACTTGTCTTTTTAAAAAAAATAGTATCGAAAGCTAAGAAAAAGTTTTTAAAAGCACAATAGATGAATTTTGGGGCCCATCAAACCTTTATTCATAGTGAAAGTCAATTTCAATTTTGTGGTATTCCCAACACTCAGAACAATAATCAATTACAATCCTTTCATTTCTACCCAGTTAGTTAAACCATTGTGAAATCTTTCTCACGATAAGCTAACAATTAGAAATGTTTGAACTATAAAAGAAACAAGACAAAATCTGTTTGTTCTAAGTTGGCACACTACTCTATATTGCTGACAATAGTTATGCCTTACTTCTTGATTTATTAGCAACAAGTTAATTTTTCTTTGCCTCAGAAACCTTAAAAAAAAAAAGTTATAACAAACCACACACAGATTCTTACACACACAAATTTAAAACAGACTAAGAAATGCAAGCATATTCGTATCAGAGGTTGTAAGGCTACAGAGTTATTAACTTCCTGCTACGGCAAGTCTGTGGTATATGATCACAATGAGTATACAATTAATTAGCCAGGAAAAGGTTGCTTTGTGCCAGTATCGCAGATGCTGATCTGATCTTCCCAACTGACTTAATTAACAACGAGTTAGTTTACCCTATTGCATGCCTCTCCAATAGTCTCTGGACTGGTATTGTTAACTTCCCAAGAAAGCGCTTGATGATAGGACGACTCTTGGCAAATTTGTCTTTAATTTCAATTTCCAAGACGTCTGTTAGAAGTGCAACAAAAGAATATTTCTGAAAGAAAGAACACATTCAGTAGTGTATCATTACACCATTATTCAACATATATGTAAATTTACACCACCCGTTTGTGACAGGCAACCCAAAGCAATAATTATTGATGATGGCAGCCGCTTCCAGATTACACAATGATGCTACAATCATTAAAAACAAAAATGTTTCTTCCTTCCCCCTCCTCGAAGAATAAATGGCTTTTTCATTTCTATATTATGATGATGTTTCAATAAAAAATGAAGTTTCGTGAGGCATCAATGTTCTGCTTGGAACAGCCTACATCAACTAGTTAGACTTCCACTAGCCTTCACCTTTCGGATTTCAGTACAAATCACCACCTTACCAGAATAGCTAAAAACAGTCTGGCTGGTTGGCTAAATAATTCTCAACAGGGAACAAAACTAGAGGCTACAGTTCAACTTCATTACACACATCAACCAGACAGGTTCAAATCTCTGCACATCTGGCAGACTCAAATCAGCAAATGAATGAGAGTCATGAATAAAAACAAAAATTCTCATCCTTGTCAATCAGGGTTGAGTTTCCTGTGATGAATGGAATTTAAAAGTTGTTAACCATCTGTTTGCTATAGAAATTGAAAGCTGTCATTGTGGAACCCACAGAGAAAAGGAGAAGACCAATTCTGTACCAAATTCAGCATATGTAATACAATCATAAGATGGTACTGTCAAAGCATTGCTACAGGGAAACACACAGCAGTTAGAGCACGCGGATATAGTTTGTGGGCCAACGAACACTGCACAATACATTATCATTTTAGTAATAAGTTGCAAAAATAAGAGACCAGAGAAGAAAAGAGGAAATAGAATAGAGGATTTTTTGGGGTTTTTTTTAACTGGTTATTAGAAAGAAAGAAAAGAGACTCCAACTAAAACTCTTATTCTGATCTTAATTGTGGGGGAAATCTGCATGACTGTGAATGATGCCAGAGTGATATCACTGGGGGGGAAATGCCCTCTATTTAGCCACAGAACAGCTAGACCATGAGTAGAAGCAATGACCTTACACGGTCCTGCTTTGTTGCTAATCTACTTCAACCATGTTCCCTTGACCTCTCTGTTGAGTCTGTGAAGTCAGACACCAAATGTGGTGGAGGCATATGTACACTACAATGTAGACTCAGAGCATCAATTCATTTCACAAAAACAAAACAAAACCGTGAATGGCCATCAAAAGGTTACAGGTTTTGGTTACAAAGGCCTGGTCTACACGGGGGGCGGGGGGCGAGATTGATCTAAGTCACACAACTTCAGCTACGTGAATAACGTAGCTGAAGTCGATGTACTTAAGATCGACTTACTGCGGTGTCTTCACCGTGGTAAGTCGACTGCTGCTGCTCCCCCGTCGACTCCGCCTGCGCCTCTTGCGGCCGTGGAGTACAGGAGTCGACGGGAGAGCGCTCGCCGATCCAGCGGGTAGTATAGACATACCCTAAGAGGTATTCATTTTAATATTATTTCCAGTTCAGTGGGTTTTTTTCAAACACACTTTTGCCATTCAGCACTCAAATGCATATGAGATAGTCTCCATTTTAACACCAAAACAGCCTTCCCTGTGGAAACAAATCTGAAAAGTTGCCTTTTGTCAAGCTACATATAATAATTCAAAGATCATCCTCCCTGCTTGATGACAGAGAAATCTTTGAATGTGCCAGTTGCTATGCACTATGAGAGAGAATAATTTCTCAATGAACTGTAGTTGGAATCATTGCCCGGGCTGAGCCTGAACATGAATGTTAACTTCCCGTGCCTTTTTGTAACGATTCTTCTCACAACATATAATCCATTCTAATTAATTTATTCCTGCAATTTCAAGGAATCCACAGGGCTATTAAGCAATTTCAAAACTTGCTATCAGAAGAGGGACTGAAGCTCACAGCATATGGTTCAAACATGTTACAGAAGACAACTGTTCCTACCCAACAACAGGGTTCCTACAATTACTGCAATTTCCATGTCAATTTAAATAACCAGCTCATAGCATCAGACATTAAGGACCAATACATAAAAGAAGGAAACAATATCCTAGTGACTTATTGCACCAGCCAACTGAAGGAGTTCTTAAAAGGCATACATTACCTCTCTGTGCCAAACAGGATTAGTTGTGTTACTGATGATAGTAGACCTTTTTTCCTGACCATGATGGGCAAATGTAGGAAACGTGCTTTTCTTTCCTGGCTGAATGGACATCTTTAGGTAAGGATCAGGATTGAAGAACATCCCTTTTTTTAGCCCAACTGCTCTAATATCTTGAAAGAAAGAAGGAAAAGGAACAAAAGGATTAAAACAAGAAGTTCACAAATTAGGTAGTCCTAAAATATTACCTCGGAATCCAGTTTACCATAAACTGTTAAAAAAAAAAAAAAGGTAACACAAAATTACTCATACTACGATTAATTAGATCTAGTGAATGGAAGTTGCCTATGGCAGGAATTCACTCCGTTTTCCTGAGAGAATAAACAGATGAGGTAATGAGACTAGACCAGGCTCTTGATTTACATGCTGGTCCCCAGTTATTTCGAATATAAAATACTTTGCGCACTTCTGACTCCGAGCTGCAGAATAGTTTTTCTTCTGTACTTAATGTATTTGCATTCAGAGAAAAAGCACCCAATCCCCACTCCTTCACATGCTGCTGGATTTAAAAAAAGAAAAAGAAAAAGAAATAAAAAAGGAAGAGCCATCCATGAAGTAGGATAATGAAACAATGTTTTTTAGGACTAATATACTGATGCATAAAGATCACCCTAAATATTCAGAAAGCAGGATGGTGATCTGGGCTGGGATGCACATGCTCCCAAGAGAAGAGATGCAGAGTTTTTCTGAGGATGTTTCTTTCTTTACATAGAGCTTTTTCCCCAGGGAAACAAAGTTTGGCAGCCTTGTATTATCTGCTGTATGATGGAGTAACTTACACTGATGCTCACCTGCCAGAAGAACTTTTGCTCATATCCTCAGCACCTGCTTAAATGCTGGGGCCATAAGCCTCAAATAGCCAGGGTAAGAGGGGTTCTTTCAGTACAATAATTGATTTTAAAATTAACTTTCAAGTATTTTTCTTTTCCGGTTCCCTGAAGCCACAGATTTCTGGGTCCTTCTTCATGAGGTATCCTAGCATGTAGTGTGCAGTCTCCAACCTCAGTGAAGCTGGCACACACAAGGTCAGATGTGCAATTTTGTATGTAGTTTTTGCACTCACAGAAAAAGCTTACTGTACTAAAATGAGACACTGAATTTGGATTCAACCTAAAAACCCCAACCCAATGATCAAAAGTAACCGTTGAGGGTGAGGACACATTAAAAATAGTGTATAGGAAATATCATAAAATACAAACTAAATCCTTTTAAGAGCAATTTCTTCATAACTGAAATGACAGAGAAACACCACTACAGTTCTCTATCATGCACTTCTCATCTGAACCAGTTAGACACACTCCTTCTTCAGGCAGGAGCACAGTTATGCTTTTGAAAGAAGCAGCCCTCTGTGCCTCTTTGTAAATGGTTATCCACCAGCCATGAAAAGCAATTCATGCATAAAGAGACAAGAACTCATTAGCAAGCAAGAGAGACTAATGTTTTCCCCCACTTTTTAAAATATATCCACAGAACTTAATTTTAAATTATTCTGAATACACACAGAGCTTAAGAACATGCAGGATCCTACAGCCTAAGGCAGATATATTATTTCATCATGCGGCCCCATTTTGCACTGATATATTAATGTACTGCATTATATCACTAATGCTTTCTGACATGCACTGTCATAGCCTATAAACAGCAATGGTTAGGGAGGTTCAGCCACTCAGCTTTCTAAGTATTCCCAACTAATTTTAGAGACCTCTTTATAAAAGCCACCTACCCTTTCATCATCTTTAAAGGCCAGCATTTTGAAATGGATTTATCTGAACATAGTTAATTAAAGTGCTCTTAGAAAAGATTGGAGAAAGAAAAAGAGCAGGCTTTTAAAAAAAAATATGAAAGACACCTCCATAAAAGCAAGATTAAAACCTGACCTTTCAAACAAAGTCGGTAAGTCAAGATGGGAGCACAGTGAGGAATATTATTTGCACTATGTTTTCTATTCATTTTTTCCCCAAATGTGTGTGTGATCCAGTTCTGTTCACACAATAGTCAAGGAAAATGAGTTCTCAGTCTGTAGTCAAAACTTGTTTCATGATTAAATGATGTTAGTTTCACACCAAAGCAGAAGTCGTAGACCCAGTCAGTCTGCCCAAACAAGATTGTTGTTTCCATGCTCTGCTGCTAGCAGAAGTGAAAGGACAAATCTACTCTGACCGTGCACCTCTTTTGACTATCCCCTGGAGACAGTGCAGGATCTAAGGCCTGGTCTACACTAGGAGGTTATGTCGAATTTAGCAGCGTTAAATCGAATTAACCCTGCACCCGTCCACACAACGAAGCTATTTAGTTCGACATAGAGGTCTCCTAAATTCGATTTCTGTACTCCTCCCCAACGAGGGGAGTAGCGCTAAATTTGACATGGCCATGTCGAATTAGGGTAGGTGTGGATGGAATTCGACGCTAATAGCTCCGGGAGCTATCCCACAGTGCACCACTCTGTTGATGCTCTGGACAGCAGTCTGAGCTCGGATGCTCTGACCAGCCACACAGGAAAAGCCCCGGGAAAATTTGAATTCCTTTTCCTGTCTGGGCAGTTTGAATCTCATTTCCTGTTTGGACATCGTGGCGAGCTCAGCAGCACTGGCAACGATGCAGAGCTCTCCAGCAGAGGTGACCATGCAATCTCAGAATAGAAAGAGGGCCCCAGCATGGACTGATCAGGAAGTCTTGGATCTGATCGCTGTGTGGGGCGATGAGTCCGTGCTTTCGGAGCTGCGATCGAAAAAACGGAATGCGAAGATCTAAGAGAAGATCTCAAAAGCCATGACAGAGAGAGGATACAGCCGGGATGCAACGCAGTGCCACGTGAAAATCAAGGAACTGAGACAAGGGTACCAGAAGACCAAAGAGGCAAACGGACGCTCCGGATCCCAGCCCCAGACATGCCGTTTCTACGAGGCACTGCATTCCATTCTAGGTGCGGCCGCCACCACTACCCCACCACTGACCGTGGACTCAGAGGATGGGATATTGTCGACGGCCGCTTCCTCGGAGATGTTAGCGGACGAGGAAGATGAGGAAGGAGATGAGGAGGACGAGGCAGTCGACAGCGCTTACAATGCTGATTTCCCCAACAGTCAGGATTCTCTTCATCACCCTCACAGAGATCCCCTACTAACCGTCCCCAGGCGTTAACCCGGACCCTGAATCAGGGGAAGGATCAGTCGGTAAGTGTTTTAAACATGTAAACATTTATTTTGAACAGAACAGGAACATTAACAATGGGTTTTTCATGATTAGTTTGCCCTAGGCGCTCTACTTTTCAGTCCTTGCCAGTGCAGCTACTGGAAAATAAGGTCTATATGTCCAGGGATAGAGCTGAAATCCTCATGGGACATCTCCACGAAGCTCTCCTGGAGGTAATTGGAAAGCCTTTGCATGAGGTTCCTGGGGAGAGCGGCCTTATTGTGTCCTCTGTGGTAGGAAATTTTTCCGTGCCAGGCTATCATCAAGTACTCTGGTATCATTGCCTTGCAGAGCATGGCGGCATACGGCCCTGGTTTTTGCTGGCTTTCACGCAGGATGCGTTCTTTCTCTGTCTCAGAAATCCTCAGCAGAGTGATGTCGCTCATGGTGACCTGCTTAGAATTAGGGGAATGTTACTATTGGGACTGCTTGCCTGTTCCTTTACAGAACTGTAACCGGCGGTTTACAGCCACGCGGTGGAGGCGGGAGAGGGGCAGCATACAGGGATCTTTCCCGGAGACAGCCGCGAGGGGGTGGGACAGGGGCAGAGTTCATGCTTGCCGGATTGCCGGCAGCAGGAACTGGCCAACGCTAGGAGCATTGCTTTGAACGTGAAAGGAGGGCACTGCTATAATTTAAGTTTTAAGCAGCCAAAAGTCTACGGCTTACCATGTCAGCCTGGTACCCGAATTCCGCTGTCCTGCCCCGCTTGTCTGATCTCCACTGCAAGACCCCAGGCACTGAATGCGAAGGCCGAAAATTCGACCTTGTCCTGAGTGCACATGTGATAGGTGCTGTGCATGGTCTTGTTCACAGAGAAAGATTATGTTCATTGTTCACAAAAAATTATCTTTTTGAGGAATTCACTCCCTTTTTCCCATCCCACAGCTGCGACTGTCTCCCGACTTACCCTGGCATCCCCCTCCCAGAGGCTGGTGCAGATTAGGCGGAGAAAGAAAAGGACACGGGACGACATGTTCTCAGAACTTATGGGCTGCTCCCGAGCCAAGGCGGCCCAGCAGACCCAGTGGAGGGAAAACATGTCGCAATACCATCGATCAAACATTGAACGGGAGGAGAGGTGGACCGGAGGCAGGAGGACAGAGCCCCGCTGCAGTCTCTGTCTAACCGCCTTCCCCTGCCACAAAGTCCCATACCCCCCTCACCCAAAGTCCCAAGAAGGAGGGGCGGCAGGGGCCGTGAAAACTGTCACTCCACCCGTGCAGACTGCTCGAGTACCAGAAGGCTGTCATTCCCCAAAATTTGATAAGTCCTTTCCTTCCCGCCTCACCCAAGCCCCCGTCCCAGTTTCATCCCCTAAGTGTGTAGTTGCTAATAAAAAAATACGTTTCTGTTAATTACTGTTTCCATCATGTTCTTTTACAGGAGAGTGTGTTTGAAGGGTGGAAGGGGGTTGGTAATTGGAGAGGACAGTCACCTTTACCAGGGTACAGACACGGGGACAGGTTCAGCAGCAGGTCACACACACATTGCAGTCACTAGGCACCCTGGTCAGTCTGGGAGGTGGTTTTCATGTTCTGGGGGGGGGGGGAGGCTATGTGACTTTGTGGCGGGGGAGGGCGGTTAGAGATCTTATGCAGCGGTCCTTATCCTGGATCACAGAGCCACACAGCAGGGGATCTGTAACCGTCCTCCCCCGCCACAAAGTCATATAGACCCCCACACACAGAGTCCCGAAAAGGAGGGGTGGCAGGCTCCGTTGAAACAACCAGTCCACCACTGCGGACCGCTCTAGGAGCAGGAGCCTGTCATTCCTCGAGTTTAGAAGCGTTCTTTCCATCACTACGCCCGCTCGCCACCACAGTCTGCGTCCCAGTTTCAACAGTTTACCGCGAAACCCGTAATAAAGAAAACGGGGTTCATTAACAAAGTTCCATTTATTTTATTTTTAAACATGGGT